TTCATCTGTAAAGTGGTCAATTTAAATTGTTCTAGTGTTTTCAGTTTTCAAATTTGCAAACCATTGCTATATATGGATGCCTAGCTCTATCCTCAACCCTTACTGTCAGCTGGTGTACAAGTGTTAATCAAATCAATGTGATTAATCTCCTGATAGATATTTTCTATATGGTGGTAGCCATCTTGAACACGGCTTGAAACTAAATAAAGAGACAAATTGAGAAACACATTTTTCAGATTCCTACAAATCGTGGGAACAATACCAAACTTTCGCATCTAAACAACCCATATTAGGCCAACCACTAACAAAATTTGGCAGAATTTGTCATTTTTGTGTGGAAAAATCCACACAAATAGGAAACACTTCATTACACGCAGAACATAAACACTTTCCCGAGTTATTTAAAACCTAATTGATATCTTTCTTTGAGGCCGTTTATGATTGGATACTGAGTTTAATGATGAGTTTGGTTTCAAAAACGACTGGGAAAGTGTTCTAGGTTCTTTGTGTATGCAAGGGATTTTTTCACACAAAAATGACAATTTGCATAAATCCTGTATTTTGTACACACTTATAACTATAACCATGAGTTTGTAGGAACTTAATTTACATACAATTTGCATAAATATATTTCTGTTTAAGTTATTTTTAACAATATAGATATATCAAAACTGCTTGTATATTAGCTGGAATAAAAAAAAAACTATGTATAATCTTAGCATTTTTAGCTGTTTTATGATCGCTTGAAATTCATCATCTAATCTTCATAGTGCTTTTCTGTCATAAAGCATTATTGCCATCAAAACATTCTGTGCTTAATGCAGTTCAAGTTGAACTCAATGCTATTATCACACTGGAATCTCACTATTAAAATTAAATGAACATTTTTTGTAATGTTTTTTACAATATACAGTTTCATATAATATATATATATAACTTTTTCTTTCAATGATTCGCCGACCCAAATTTCGAAATATGAACAAAATAGTTTTGACATAGAAATCAGTGCAAAATGTAAATTTATACAGTTTATGGCATTCCTATTGTGCTTTCCATTCAATCACTCGCTTACACATGAAACAAATCTCGAGGTCATGTCTATAAATATGCTTGACTGTAGCCCTAAATCTACAGTCTTGCAGGTATGCAGTAATTCTGTACAGCCTTTATATATATTGTACAAATGTGTAT